GTCCTATCCCAGTGCCTCCAGTCCCTCCCTAGAGAATCCCAGTCCCAGCCCAGTTCCCCCAGGTGCCCCCAGGGCCTCTCCAGTGCCCTCAGTCCCGGCCCAGTCCCTCCCCAGTGCATCTCACTCCTATCCAAGTGCCCCCAGTCCCACGGATCCCCAGTCCCTCCCCAATGACCCCCAGTCCCATCCCAGTGCTCCCAGTCCCCCTCACCCCCGAAAATCTCAGTCCCACCCCAGTGTCCCCACTCTCAGCCCAAATCCCCCCAGTGCCCCCAGTCCCTCTCCAGTGTCCCCAGTCCCATCCCCATCCTTCCCCACTACCCCCAGTCCCTCCCAGTACATGTCAGTCCTTTTCCCCGATGCATCCCACTCCCTCCCTAGAACATCCAAGTCCCATCCCAGTTCCCTCCCCAGTGCCCCTGACCTGCCCCCCCTCCCCGTGAACCTCGTCCCTCCCAAGGCATCCCGGGTCTTTCCCCTCTGCATCCCAGTCCCATGCCAGGCCCACTCCCCAGTCCTGTCACAGTCCTCTTGCAGTCCCTCCCCAGTCCAATCCCAGTCCCTGCAGTGCCTTTCCTGTTGTTCCCAGTCCCTCCCCACTGCATTCCGCTCCTTTCTCCCATGCATCCCATTCCCATCCCAGTACCATCCCAGTTCCCTACCCAGCCCCCTCGCCGTCCCTCCCTGCTCCCTCCCCAGTTCCCCCAGTCCTAGCCCAGTGCCACCAGTGCTCCCAGTCCCACCCCAGTGCCCCCACTCCCATCCCAGTCTCTCCCCACTTCCCCCCCTGCAACCCACAACCTCCTTTCCCTCCCAAGCGTCCCCCTGCAGTTCAACCCAGTCCTTCCCCAGCTTGCCTAGTCCCATCCCAGTCCCTCCTAAGTGATTCCCAGTCCCTTCCCCAGTCCCTCCCCAGTACAACTCATTCCCATCCAGTGACAGCATCCCATCCCAGTGGTCCCAGTCCCTCCCCAGAGATTTGCAGGCCCATCCCAGGCACACTCCTCAGTCCCCTCCCCAGTCATGTCACAGTCCCCTTGCAGTCCCTCCCCAGTCCTATCCCAGTCCCTGCAGTCGCTTTCCCAGTGCTCCCAGTTCCCTCCCTTTCCTCCCCCGTGCACTCCGCCATCCCAGTCCCCTCCCTAACGACCCCCAACCCCCATCCCTCTCCAGCGGCCCCTAGTCAGCAGCCCATGCCCTATTCGCACCAGTGCATCCAACCCCCGTGGAAGTGTCCCCATCCAGTCCCAGTCCCTCCCCACTGCCCCCAGTCCCCCCCCATGCGGTGTGCGCCTTTTCCCTCTGCAGCCCAGTCCCAACCGCAGTCACATTCGCAGTCCCGCCCCTCGACCCTCCCCAGTGCACCCAATCCTAGCCAATGCCACCCAGTGCTCCCAGTCCCCACCCCTTCCCCCACCTCATCCCAGTCCCGTCCCACTTCTCCAGGGCAACCAGCGCACGCCCAATTCCTTCCCAAGTGTCCTCCTCCAGTGCAACTCAGTCCTTCCCCAGTTTGCCCAGTCCCAGCCCAGTCCTTTCCCACTGCCCCCAGTCCCATCCCAATTCTCTCCCCAGTGATCCCAGTCCCATCCCAGTGGTGCCCCAGTGTGTCCTAGTGCCTCCCCAGTGCCTCTCAGTCCTATCCCAGTGCCTCCAGTCCCTCCCTAGAGAATCCCAGTCCCAGCCCAGTTCCCCCAGGTGCCCCCAGGGCCTCTCCAGTGCCCTCAGTCCCGGCCCAGTCCCTCCCCAGTGCATCTCACTCCTATCCCAGTGCCCCCAGTCCCACGGTTCCCCAGTCCCTCCCCAATGACCCCCACTCCCATCCCAGTGCTCCCAGTCGTCCCCCCCCGCCCCCCGAAAATCTCAGTCCCACCCCAGTGTCCTTACTCCCAGCCCAAATCCTCCCAGGGCCACCAGTCCCTCTCCAGTGTCCCCAGTCCCATCCCCAGTCCCTCCCCACTCCCCCCAGTCCCTCCCAGTACATGTCAGTCCTTTTCCCCGATGCATCCCACTCCCTCCCTAGAACATCCAAATCCCATCCCAGTTCCCTCCCCAGTGCCCCTGACCCATCCCCAGCCCTCCCGTGACCTCAGTCCCTCCCCAGTGCATCTCACTCCTATCCCAGTGCCCCCAGTCCCACGGTTCCCCAGTCCCTCCCCAATGACCCCCACTCCCATCCCAGTGCTCCCAGTCGTCCCCCCCCGCCCCCCGAAATTCTCAGTCCCACCCCAGTGTCCTTACTCCCAGCCCAAATCCTCCCAGGGCCCCCAGTCCCTCCCCACTGCCCCCAGTCCCTCCCAGTGCATGCCAGTCCTTTTCCCCGATGCATCCCACTCCCTCCCTAGAACATCCAAGTCCCATCCCAGTTCCCTCCCCAGTGCCCCTGACCCCATCCCCAGCCCTCCCGTGACCTCAGTCCCTCCCCAGGGCATCCCGGTTCTTTCCCCCTCTGCATCTCAGGCCCATGCCAGGCCCACTCCCCAGTCCTCTCACAGTCCTCTTGCAGTCCCTCCCCAGTCCAATGCCAGTCCCTGCAGTGGCTTTCCCGTTGCTCCCAGTCCCTCCCCACTGCATTCCGCTCCTTTCTCCCATGCATCCCATTCCCATCCCAGTACCATCCCAGTTCCCTTCCCAGCCCCCTCGCCGTCCCTCCCTGCTCCCTCCCCAGTTCCCCCAGTCCTAGCCCAGTGACACCAGTGCTCCCAGTCCCACCCCTGTGCCCCCACTCTCATCCCATTCCCTCCCCACTTCCCCCACTGCAACCCACCACCTCCTTTCCCTCCCAAGGGTCCTCCTGCAGTGCAACCCAGTCCTTCCCCAGTTTGCCCACTCCCATCCCAGTCCCTCCTAAGTGATTCCCAGTCCCTCCCCAGTCCCTTCCCAGTACAACTGCATCCCATCCCAGTGACAGCAGTCCCATCCCAGTGGTCCCAGTCTCTCCCCAGAGATTCTCAGGCCCATCCCAGGCACGCTCTCCAGTCCCCTCCCCAGTCCTCTCACAGTCCCCTTGCAGTCCCTTCCCAGTCCTATCCCAGTCCCTGCAGTCCCTTTCCCAGTGCTCCCAGTCCCATCCCAGTTCCCTCCCCAGTGCCCTCCGTCCCATCCCAGTCCCTCCCTACTACCCCCAGTCCCTCTCCAGTGCCCCTAGTCTCAGCCCAGTGCCCCTAGTCGCACCCAGTGCATCCAACCCCCGTGAAGTGTCCCCAGTCCCATCCCAGTCCCTCCCCACTGCCCCCAGTCCCTCCCCAGTGCGTTGTGCTCCTTTTCCCTCTGCATCCCATTCCCATCCCAGTCACTTCGCAGTCCCTCCCTGCTCCCTCCCCAGTTCCCCCAGTCCTAGCCCAGTGCCACCAGTGCTCCCAGTCCCACCCCTGTGCCCCCACTCTCATCCCAGTCCCTTCCCACTTCTCTCAGTGCAAGCCAGCGCACCCATTCCTTCCCAAGTGTCCTCCTGCAGTGCAACTCAGTCCTTCCCCAGTTTGCCCAGTCCCAGCCCAGGCCTTTCCCACTGCCCCCAGTCCCATCCCAATTCCCTCCCCAGTGATTCCAGTCCCCTCCCAGTGGTGCCCCAGGGTGTCCTAGTGCCTCCCCAGTGCCTCTCAGTCCTATCCCAGTGCCTCCAGTCCCTCCCCAGAGAATCCCCGTCCCAGCCCAGTTCCCCCAAGTGCCCCCAGGGCCTCTCCAGTGCCCTCAGTCCCGGCCCAGTCCCTCCCCAGTGCATCTCACTCCTATCCCAGTGCCCCCAGTCCCACGGTTCCCCAGTCCCTCCCCAATGACCCCCACTCCCATCCCAGTGCTCCCAGTCCCCCCCCCCGCCCCCCGAAAATCTCAGTCCCAACCCAGTGTCCCCACTCCCAGCCCAAATCCCCCCAGTGCCCCCAGTCCCTCTCCAGTGTCCCCAGTCCCATCCCCATCCCTCCCCACTGCCCCCAGTGCCTCCCAGTGCATGCCAGTCCTTTTCCCCGATGCAGCCCACTCCCTCCCTAGAACATCCAAGTCCCATCCCAGTTCCCTCCCCAGTGCCCCTGACCCATCCCCAGCCCTCCCGTGACCTCAGTCCCTCCCCAGGGCATCCCGGTTCTTTCCCCCTGTGCATCCCAGTCCCATGCCAGGCCCACTCCCCAGTCCCTCCCCAGTGCGTTGTGCTCCTTTTCCCTGTGCATCCCATTCCCATCCCAGTCACTTCGCAGTCCCTCCCTGCTCCCTCCCGAGTTCCCCCAGTCGTAAATTATCATCCCAGAGGGATGATCGTGGCTGGGGCCAGGTGTCAAACTACTCAGATACGGTGTCTGGTTTTCTTTCTCGCAGTTGGCTCCTAGTAGTCTGACGATGGCAGGAACCTCTGAGGCAGCCCAGGTGCCCCTCCTCTGCATCAAGGCTGGATTGGCATCCCCTGCTCTCGGAAAGATAAGTGCAGGGCAAAGACCCACAGAGGGGTTTGGAGTCTGGGCAAGTCTGTGCCTCGCCTGGAGGGATTTTTGAAATTAGTCCAGTGGTGGGGGTATCCTGGAACAGGTTATTGGGACGCCTCAAAGGAAGGGCTTACTTTTTATCATTGGATTCACGTGTGCAGGGCAGAGCAGTTGCGGTCTGTGTCACGTCCTTTGTCTCGTCCATGTTTTGTGTTTTTTGTCTCTTAATTGTGTCACATGGTGTGTGTGGTCACAGGTGTGGGGTGTCTCACTTGGGGTCAGCCTGGAACTGCTCTGCCCTGCTCCGTGGATCAGTGGGTAGATGGAATATGGCTCCTAGTCTGACGTCAACATGTCAGTTCCCTTAGACAGTGGAACCGATGGCTGTCCAGTCTGTGAGCAGGATGGTCTTGTGATGCCCTGCTTGGGTGTATAAGGTCCCGAGTGGGTAGAGTTGGAACCAGTGTCTAGGGTTTAGAGGTTTTTGGCTTTCCTTGTGAGCAGTCCCTAAATGTTTGAGAGCTGAGTGTTTGAGCATTTGCCCATTTCATTTGCAGGGGCGGTCTTGGGAGCAGCTGAAGAGAGAGGAGCCTTGTAGGTGAGTTGGGGAGGCAGCAGGAGGAGCGGGGATGCACTGCAGCTTTAGAGATGCCCTCTAATTTTGTCTCTCGCTCACTCAGGTATCCCAGAAGATGACAGCCACAGTGTCTGACTCTGGTCAGGACCTTGGTGCCGGTGAGTAGGGGGATCACTGGGTTTCGAGCCCTGTGCCACACAACTCACATATTGGTTATGGGTTTTTTTCTCGTAGTTGACTCGGAGTAATGTCCTGACCGCAGGAACCACCTCACGATGGCGCGACTGACTCAGATTGATCATCTTGAGCTGTCCTTGTCTGCAATCTCTGACTTTTAAAAGGATGAGCAGCAAGGCACAGAACTTTAGTGATGGCAGGTGCCATCCGGGTAACTTTTGGAAGCGTCCAGGCATTGGAGGTGAGTCGGGGAGGCAGCATGAGGAGCGAGGATGCACTGCAGCTTTAGAAATAACCCCCGGTTTTTTCTTGCTTTTATTTCTCTTGCTCTCTTCTCCTGATTTTAATTCTCTTAGGCTCTTCTTCTGATTGTATTTCTCTTAGGCTCTTCTCCTGGTTTTAATTCTCTTGGGCTCTTCTCCTGATTTTAATTCTCTTGGACTCTTCTCCCAATTTTAATTCTTTTAGGCTCTTCTCCTGATTTTAATTCTCTTAGGCTCTTCCCCTGATTTTAATTCTCTTAGGCTCTTCTCCCGATTTTCATTTTTTTTAGGCTCTTCTCCAGATTTTAGTTCTCTTAGGCTCTTTTCCTGATTTTATTTCTCTTAGGCTATTTTCATTATTTTTATTTTTTAAGGCTTTTATCCTGATTTTAATTTTTTTACTCTCTTCTCCTGATTTTCATTTTTTTAAGGCTCTTCTCCTGATTTTAATTTTTTTAGGTTCTTCTCCTAAATTTTAATTTTTTTAGGCTCTTCTCCTGATTTGTATTTTTTTAGGCTCTTCTCCTGATTTTAATTCTCTTAGGCTCTTCTCCTGATTTTAATACTCTTGGGGTCTTCTCCTGATTTTTATTTTTTTAGGCTGTTCTCCTGATTTTATTTCTCTTAGGCTCTTCTCCTGATTTTTATTTTTTTATTTCTCTTCTCCTGATTTTTTCTCTTTTAGGCTCTTCTCCAGATTTTAATTTTTTTAGGCTCTTCTCCCGATTTTTATTTTTTTAGGCTCTTCTCCAGATTTTTTTTTTTTTTAGGCTCTTCTCCTGATTTTCATTTTTTTAGGCTCTTCTCCTGATTTTATTTCTTCTAGGTTCTTCTCCTGATTTTCATTTTTTTAAGGCTCTTCTCGTGATTTTCATTTTTTTAGGCTCTTCTGATTTTCATTTTTTAGGCTCTTCTGATTTTATCTCTTAGGCTTTTTTCCTGATTTTTATTCTCTTGGGCTCTTCTCCTGATTTTAATTCTCTTGGGCTCTTTTCCTGGTTTTTATTTTTTTAAGGTTCTTCTCCTGGTTTTCATTTTTTAGGCTCTTCTCCTGATTTTATCTCTTAGGCTTTTTTCCTGATTTTTATTCTCTTGGGCTCTTCTCCTGATTTTAATTTTCTTGGGCTCTTTTCCTGATTTTAATTCTCTTGGGCTCTTCTCCTGATTTTAATTTTCTTGGGCTCTTCTCCTGATTTTAATTCTCTTGGGCTCTTCTCCTGATTTTAATTCTCTTGGGCTCTTCTCCTGATTTTTATTTTTTTAAGGTTCTTCTCCTGGTTTTCATTTTTTTAGGGTCTTCTCCTGATTTTAATTTTTTTAGGCTCTTCTCCTGATTTTATTTCTCTTAGGCTCTTCTCCTAAATTTTAATTCTCTTGGGCTCTTCTCCTGATTTTCATTTTTTTAGGCTCTTCTCCTGATTTTTTTTTTTTAAACTCTTCTCCTGGTTTTTATTTTTTTAGGCTCTTGTCCTGATTTTCAGTTTATGGCTCTTCTCCTGATTTTAATGTTTTTAGGCTCTTCTCCTGATTTTCATTTTTAAGGCTCTTCTCCTAATTTTAACTTTTTTAGGCTCTTCTCCTGATTTTAATTCTCTTCAGCTGTTCTCCTGATTTTTATTTTTAGGCTCTTCTTTTAATTTTAATTCTTTTAGGCTCTTCTCCTGATTTTAAATCTGTTAGGCTCTCCTCCTTATTTTATTTCTTTGAGGCTCTTCTGCTGATATTCATTTTTTAAGGCTCTTCTCCTGATTTTCATTTTTTAAGGCTCTTCTCCTGATTTTAATTTTTTAGGCTCTTCTCCTGATTTTAATTCTCTTAGGCTGTTTTCCTGATTTTATTTCTCTTAGGCTCTTCTCCTGATTTTCATTTTTTTAGGCTCTTTTCCTATATTTTAATTCTCTTGGGGTCTTCTCTTGATTGTAATTCTCTTAGCCTCTCCTCCTGATTTTATTTCTTTTAGGCTCTTCTCCTGATTTTTAATTTTTTAGGCTCTTCTCCTGATTTTAATTTCTTTAAGACTCTTCTCCTGATTTTAATTTTTTGGGGCTCTTCTCCTGATTTTAATTCTCTTAGGCTCTTCTCCAGGTTTTTATTTTTTTAGGCTCTCTCCTGAGTTTCAGTTTATGGCTCTTCTCCTGATTTTAATTTTTTTTGGCTCTTCTCCTGATTTTATTTCTCTTAGGCTCTTCTCCTGATTTTAATTCTCTTAGGTTCTTCTCCTGATTTTAATTCTTTTGGGCAGTTCTCCTGATTTTTATTTTTTAGGCACTTCTCCTAATTTTAATTCTTTTAGGCTCTTCTCCTGATTTTAATTTTTTTTGGCTCTTCTCCTGATTTTAATTCTTTTACTCTCTTCTCCTAATTTTAATTCTGGGTGTTGCTGAGGGTTGTTGGGGAGCACTGGGAGAGAAAATGAAAAATAAAGAGAATAAAAAATAAACGAAATAAAAAAGGAAATATAAAAAACAAAATAAAATAAAAAAAGGCAAAAAAACTAAAAAGGAAATAAAATGAAAATGAAATAATAAAAAAAAAAGAAACCCCTTCTTGGGCACCCCGTTTCCTCTCCTCCCCCCCCCCCCGAGAACCGTAAATTGCGGGGGTCATCACCCCTAAAATGTGAGACGGGGATCCCAAAATGCGGGTGGGGGAACCCCAGGGAGCCGAAAAAGCGGAGGGGGAGCCGCAGTAAGAAAGCGAAGCCGGGCGGTCGGGCGGCGGGGTGGGGGGGCAGCCAAGGTGGCGACGCCGGCGCGTGCGCAGTCGTTGGCAAGACGCTGGCGACCACGTGGTTAGTAAGGGCAGCCAGGAGAGGGACCGGCGACGCATGCGCAGTGGCTCTCGTGGCAGTGCAGCGCTCCCCACTCGAGTTAAGGGCCGGTTCCGGCGGCAGGGCGGGACTGGCGGTCTCCCGTCTCTGGCGGGGTGTGTGTGGGGGGAATAACATGAAGATTTTTTGGGGTGAAAGCGCAGAAATTAGGGAAGAGGGATGCTAATTTGGGTAAACTCGGTCACCGGAAGTAGAGAGCGACCGGAAGTCCTCCAAGGCCCCGGCCCGGAAGTTCGCTTTGACGCCACACTCAAGATGGCGTTACCAGGACCGGAACTTAGCCGAGGCCACACTCAATATGGCGGCGAGAGGACCCCTCGCCTCAGAGAGACGTCTATCCTGTTGCCTGACCTCCGCCGCGACCCGGACCTCCGCCCCGCGCCCGCAGCGCCGTCTCGCCGCACCGCTTCCCGCTGTGGGGACGGGGCGGGGCGCTCTGCAGCGCCGGGCGCGGGCGGCAGGTTCGTGGGCGGCGGCAGGCACCGGCGCGGCAGCCCCCGTCTCGGAGCCGCGGCGCGCGAGGACCCCAGGCGTTCACACCGCGTCGCCCGCCCGCCCCGTTCCGCTCCGCTCCGCTCCCGCCCCCGTCCCCGCCCCGCTCGGTCCCGCGTTGCCCTGGAGATGCTGTCGGGGCTGCGCCGCCGCCTTCCCTCCCCGCAAGCGACCATGGGCCGGGGATCATGGCCAGAGTCCTTCAAACCTGGGGAACAGTGGCCTTCACACCATCCCTGCAGCCCGTCCAGGGCAGGCTGCTGCCCTTCGGCCCCTGATCACAGGTGGATGTAGAAGTGATGGTGTTTAGGGAACGTTGATTGTATTTCCCTGACTTTAGCAATGTGGTCATTAAAAAGAGAAAAATACCAAGTCTATGGAAATCCCCTGCACGTGGGAGCTTGCAGGCTCTGGATTAAACTTGGCTCTCTAATGTTAAAACTGTGGGCGAGGGGCGGTGGCCGAGCAAGGCCAGCGGCGGTGCCGGACGGGGCCGGCCCGGGGGTCCCTTCCCCGCGGGGTCGCAGCCGCGGGACCCGCCCCCGCCCCGCGCGGCCCCTCCCGGCGCGCCCCGCCCGGCGTTGGGGGCTGCGGCCGCTCCCGGCGCTGCCGAGGCTGCCGGGGAGGGACCGGCCTGTGCTGGGGGCACGGGGGTTTGTTCTTGTGTTCGAGGGCAGCAGCGGGAGCGGTGCTGCGGGGCAGGACGTGCCGGGTGACGGCGGGGAAACCGCGGCGGGGCCCGGGGGCTGCAGCTCTCTGGCTTCCCGACTCGCTTTGTAGACATTTGCCACCTTCAGAGGAGGCACAGATCCCCGCGGAGCTGAGCAAGGGGTACGGGGAGTGCAGCTGGGTGCAGCGAGCTGGGGCGGGGCTGTGACCAGGGGAGGGTGTGCGCAGTCCCCCAAAACCAGCCCAAAAGAACCCCAGAGCCCACAGCGAAGCGGAGCGGGCACCTGCCCCTCCCTCCTGCTCGCGCCGACCCCGCCCCCCGGCTCGCCCCGCCTCCTCTCCCCGCGCGCCCGCCTGTGGCTCCCCCCGTCCTTCCCTGCCATGCGGGACGGCCCCAGGTGTGGGCAGTGAGGGTGACAAGGGGCGGGACAGCCCCAGGTGTGGGCAGTGAGGGTGACAAGGGGCGGGCCGTGCTCGGTGGGGCACTTTTTATAGGGAGCTTCTGCAGGGGAGCAGTCGATCCCAGGAAATCTCTCAAGCAGTGATGGTGAGAGCGTCTCGTAGGGACTGGGGGAAGCACCTGATGTACCCGGATTATCGCTCGAGGGATGAGCCCTGTTCCAGGAAGCAGCGCAGGAGAGGGGAGCAGCACACGTGAACAGGTGGGAGAGTGTGGGGGTGCAGAGAGGATGCAGCTCAGACTGGAGGAAGACCTTGTAAGTTTCTTTCATTGATACAAACGTGCAAAGCAGAGAGAGAGGTGGAATATAAACACTGTAGGTGCTCGGGCAGGTGAACCAGGACTTAGGAGAGGAAATCGCTTTCCTGAGCACCTAAAGTTCCAATTGCCTCTCT